GTACGCTCAACATACAAAGACTTCCAAGCCTTCGCCCGCTGAGTCCGTCTTGGGCGCGGGTGATTCTGCGAGCTCTGGAAAAAGAAATGCGATCTTTTCTAATGGTCTGATCGACTACTCTGGAGTTGTTCCAGGCAAAACTGCTGCATGGCTTATGATCAAAGAACAGTCGGAACAGTCAAAACGAGAAAAAGAGGGCCGAGACTCGAAGATACACCGAGTATCTTCGTAACCTCAGCACAGCACAGGTTACACAAAAGAAATGGAAGTGATGGGGAAGAGGTCGCGCACCTAAAACTGATTTAACGGATTGGGGGCGGGTTGCAAGGAAAAAAGCCCCTGGGCGTGAACGCGGACGAGCAAGCCCGAGAACTACACAACGGTCATCAACACGGGACGCGCTGACGCCGCTCACAGAATACATATCTATTACAAGGAATGTAGGATGAAATTCGATGCTGATTCTCCTTGATAACCGTAGATTGGTCGAAAATGGAATTTCAGAGTCAGAATAGGTCTCCTTCCTCCACGTCATTAATGTGATGAATAACGCATTGAAGTCTCGCATGGAGCATTAATGGTGCGAGTCTCCTAATTATCGCTTCATTTTTTACACAAAGTCTCATCATAAAATCCGGGGCAGAAATTATGACGGAGGATTCAGGTGCCCACTCACGGTGCCTGCGTCGGGCGTTCCTGTTTTGTATGCGCCGGCGCTCAGAAATACCAGCGATATTGATCCAGTCCTCGTTTTGTCGTGCCGAATCGCTACATCTATTGATATTCTTGGATCTACGGCAGATAGAGTTGTACAGCTGAGTATCCCCTGCATACGAATGTGTTGGATTGGCGCGGTCGGGATGATGGTGCATTAAAACTCACCTTCTCCATTTTCTGCCCTTTCCCCTCAATCTGGGACATGCCTAGTGAACCCGAGCTTGCGAATTGCGCCGATTTCTCGCATGGCAGCGGCTGTGGGATACGACCGTCAACAGTAATGCGCTCTGATATTTGGGGTTGGTAATTCGTCTCTTGGTTTCTTCGTGAAGAGGGCACGGCCAACACTGACTGCTTAGTACCAGGGCTGCTGGTGTTTTTTTGCGTCCACGCCGTCTCCTGACTAATCGACAAAAGATCGCGTTTGAAACAAGTCTCAACAGGAGGGGGGCGGGGGGGCAACTCCAGTACAAACAGATACTAGGCCCTCAAACGCGTGACTCAGCCGATCGTTGTTGTCCCTTCGGAAAAACAGCTTCGCGCGGCCAGCTGCCACATCCGACCCGATCAGGTTGAAAGAATGATGTGATGTGAGAATCGACATCGTCTCCAAGTCCGCGTACTCAGCAATCACGGGCAATAGTTGGCTGCCGTCGATGCGGCCGCAGGACCTGTCTAAGAAAAGCCTCAGCACCGAGTGGCTATTGTGTATTATCGCAGTCATGATTGGCGTGCGACCGTTGTTTGGAACATAGTCTAAATCAGCGCCATGGTCGAGTAGTATACTCGCACACTTCGCATTTTGTGCAACGGCCGCTGAATGCAGCGCAGTCAGGTCCTCAGGATTTGGCGCATTGAGGTCAGCGCCAAACTTGACAAGCAACTCGACCATCTCAGGGAGGCTGTTCAAGCTAGCTGACGTGAGGGGGCTGCCGCGGATCCGACCTTCTGGCATTCGAGGATCGACCTGTGCTCCCGCCTCGAGGACAAGACGGAGGGCCTCAACACTGGAGCTGTCGACTGTGTGCAGGATCGTAGTACGGCCGGTGGCATCCATCGAGTTCGGATTGGAGCCGCGAGAAATTAGCAGCCTCATATCGTCCAGCTGTGCCCGAGCTGCGGCCCAGTCTAGCGCAGTGCGGCCGTGGGCATCGGTGGAAAATATAGCGTCTGGATTCTGCGAGAGCTCATGGCTCAGAGGCTTTGCGCACATTCCGAAAATAATCTGATGTATCAAGGGAAAATCCTGCTCTTCGAACCAGTTCCTGTCTTGGTGCTTAATGCGACTGAGGGCATGTGTGTCCGCACTGCTATACATCTTGCGGAGGCGAAAATACTCCACAGTATTATAACATCTGTGTGTAGCAGATGGTTCGTCAGCTAGCAGCTTTGCCCAATTTGCCGAAATTGAAGGGTTTTCATGCTTACTCGTCATCCACATAGGCCCCATTATCGAGTAAAAATCTAACAATCTCATAATTGTGCATCCCGCTGTGGCCGCCATACAGCGCCCACTAACAGTGCTGTTAGCTAATTTTCAGTAGACAAAGACAAGGCCTGGAGGAGACCTAGCTAGCACGACCTACTCTCAATAAGCTGAACCCTCGAGTATAGCTTTCGTCCCTTACAGACGCCTGGCCTGCGCTGAGTAGGCCCTGAAGACCTTTAACGTTACCGTGCATTGCAAACGCAACCGCTTGGGCTGTATCCGGAATCCTCCTGGGGGTTGAAAGGTGAAGGAGAGGCTGAGAAAGCAACGTTTCGGCCATAGTCTGCAGCACCACGAAAGGATCGTCGTCGCTGATCTGCCAAATCATGGGGTCCGAAGACGAGGTTTCGGATTCCCATTTCTGACTTAACTGAGTACCAGCCTCGTCGTGCTGTGCAACTGGGTCTGTGCACAAGACCTGTGTCTGCTCACTTGTCGATTGGTTGGAGGCCAAGTCCTGAGCAACAGCAACGAGGCTGCACCTTTCGTCCTCGCACACATCGCACTGCTTGCTAACATGATGAGACTCTTTCGCCTCGGGACTGTCCTGGTTCCATGTTTCGTTCATCCGATCGCCACGCCGGGTCGTGAGCAGATGGAGCAAGGTATGTGAAGGTAGCTTTGAAAGACCTTCGACACTGATATCCTCCCACAGAAATGATTCAATCTTCAAGATACGATACCGAAATGCTCGGCCAATCTTTGCCAAACGTTGTGCGCGTGGAATACGATCAAGGCGCTCGCGAAGCTTGTCAATGTCCTCGTTTGCCAATCGCACGAAATGTTGAAAGTCGACAGTCCCGTTACCATTCAAAGGCATATAAGGCAGCCAATCGCAGAGCTTGATAAGTTTGCGAACAAGTGTGAGCCACCGACGAAACCCATCTGGGCTCCTCTTCTCCCGTAGACCGGGAGCCAATTTGTCGATAACGGCGGTTGGTAGGTTGGGGTCCGGGGCTCCACTGTCTATGTCAAGCATGGCCCGAGCTTTGATATATATGCGTTCAACACCATAAGCTTTCAGAGTCAGGGCAACCAGTTTATCGAATGTCGACTTCTCATGGGCGAGGTTCAAAACCTCGCGTGTTTGCTGGTCCCAGTCTCTTTGCTTGTTCCAGCCTCCTGGAAGGGCAGGAGTAGCTCGGGCACTGGCGAGTACATGGCGCCTGATACGCTTCGTCGCATCCAGGCCGGTCAATTCTTTCACCAGCATTTCTAGAGGCGGGACCGACTTATTCCCTCGCTTCGGTGGTTTTTTTCGAGGTCTACCTGTCGGGCCGTTCAAGCCTGCTTTACTTGGACGCACCGCTTCGAGTTTCGTTGGGTTGAGGTTTAAATTTGCATGAGTTGCCTCGCTTCGTCTTGCTGCGCTGGATTCCTTGTGCCCACGCAAGTCGAACCCAGTGAGATTGATCGGAGGTTGAATAGAGCGTAAATATCCTGTCGGTAAAGGTTCGACTGTCAATCGTGCAGGCGAGTCTCCTGTCTCGGCCCGCCGTTGCCTAAGGTGAGTAACTTCGTGCTGGAGCTCGCCAGGCAGCCGCTTGCAGGTTGAACCTTGATCTTCGCCATAATTGAGTCCCTTAGCTGGCGTGTCGACCATGACAACATCCTGATCGAATGATAGTGCTGAGTCTGTCCATGACATAACACAGTCAGCTTGTCTGGTCTTGCTAGTTGCTTCTTGCAGATATGCACGCCTTTCAAAGCTCGTGCTGACATCTGGATTCTCCGAAGATGGTCCAGTTCTCGAGGATGAAAGGTCTGCCCAGGAAGGTGCTTCATCGTGGGTTGTTGCAAGGTCCGCCGAGTTTTGTAGGTTGCTATTTAATGACTGAATTAAGTCGCAAAGCTGTTCTCGTTGCGCGTTGAGACCTGTCTCCCGTTGGAAATTGGAGAGGTGTGGGTCGGGAGTCATTGCGTTGAACTTGAACCAAGGTTGATGAGATAAAACTGTAGACCTCCCGACGGCCTCCGTGGAGATAGATTTATCTGTAAGGCAAGAGGATGCGGGGTTCGCCCTTCCGAGCGAAAAAAGGAACCCTCGAAACAAGTGTCTCAAGTTCCCTTCTCAGCTGCTGGATGGCTGGCTAGTCCCTGTCTAGCGTCCTGATAAGAGGGCACGGACAGCACCCTTAATGAGTCTATGCCGCCAGGCTGGGAACAGTATAGCCGACAGTACAGCCTACATCTGCCGAGGTAGGAATCACCTCGAGAACTTTTCACGTATGCGCCCGTGCGCCGCTGGTCCCTAATGGGACTGTGCGTACAGTCCGTTCCCTTAAGAAGGTTAAGTCGTGCAACAAAACATTGCGATCTATTCTGATCAACCAGAGCGTACAAAGGTGCTCAAAAAATGATGTTTTGTTGTAATGTTCCGAATTAGCTTTCTCTAGAGAACGGATTGTACTATCGAGGCAGGGTGAAACGTTCCCTAGACGCCCGAATTTTGATCGATCACGTCAAAACAAGTATGCGGTATCGGCCGAAATCTCCCAGACATTCAATCCACGCATCTTCGAGATTGGGAACTGTTTCATACAAGAGCTATCATGGAACAGGCGAGGCGGATAAAGAGCATATTTCCAATGAGGCAGTGAGCCTATGACGTAATGATTCAAGGAATGAATGTATATTGTGGCGCCACATCCTTATTGGCATGGCATACTTGGGCGCAAGTCTTCTCTGTGCCGGGCTTGCCGAGGGGTGCTACGAGGCTGAAGTCGTGGTGTTCAAGCAAAGGAGTACAGTACAGCGCGATCAGCGCTTGCCACTGTTCATTATTGAGCTTGCGCCTCTGAAAGTGATAACTCATCGGGCCGTTTGTGGCAATGTTGGGCCAACAAAAACAAAAGGGAAGAAAAAACGACCATCTTGAGTAATGCTTAAGACTGTGAGAATTAAGATATAGGAAATAAGCACTTTTCCCTGGAAAGAAACGTTCTGCTCACATGGACCACGCACAATGTTATCAGGTTTTGTCCGACATGAGTAATGTAGTATTGATGAAGTGCCGCCTTAGTCTCGAGGCGGCACTGCCACGTGGTGTCTTTCAGCCTGTAAGTTTCCTTTACAGCTTCTGCCTATTGAAAGCAAACCAGAAAAGGGAGGGAAAATATCTCAGACTGATTGCAATAGACTAAAAGTTCTTCCACTGGTCCTGAGTTGTCAAGCTTGGTGTCCCTGGTTCCTTGCCACCATTTCCTCTTCCACGCCCAGCCTCAGCTTCTCGTGTAACTCCAATAGACCACAAATCTGTCCAGACAACCTTCTAAGCCTACCAATTGTTAGCCATAGTGGCAGAGACTTCGTGGCCGAGACATATAATTCTTACAATTCTTTCATATCCCCCAGATCCTTTCTCATGACGCTTTGCCTACAAAGAAAAATCAGCCACATCAATTCACGACGTCGTTCGTGCACTTTAGTTTGAGCGCTGGGAAGTTGCATTTTTACTGTTTGATTAGGTCCTGGAGACCAAATTGTCTAGGGGAATTCAGCTTCGAGCTACAGCACCAAGACATGTTGTAACCTACAGCGATGCTTGCACATTGCTCCTGTACACCATTAGTAATGTATTGTGGTTAATAGCCTTAAGCCACTCACATTTGAATGTCATGCCTGATGTCTGCGAATGACGCAAACTCTACTCGCGATTTTATAGCACTCGCGGCATTCAGTTCTGAATTGTGCCCAATGATGGGTGGAAGCACATTCGATACGAGGCCGGATCCTGGCGCTGTGCTACATTTCGCAGAGAGGCTGGTACCATTGCTTGGTTTTGTTGCAGGTATGGTATGTGAAATCGGCGTTGACGGCGTCGCCTGCTGAGGAACGTTCATGAGTTGTGACGGGGAGATGGGAGGGGTTGGATTTGTCTGCCACTGCGTTGTTGAGGGTTGCGTTGCTGGCTTCGGCGCGAGCGGTCTCCTGTAGGAGGAAGACATTGCCTCTGTGTGCGGATGCTGATGCCAGCGATTCTGAGCGTAGCTCGGTGCCGAGATGTACCTTGAAGATCCCTGCGTGGCACCTCTCATGTTTGGCGTGTTTGTAAGAGGATGCCGTGGATGCATCCAGACGCAGTGCGCGCAAAAGCAATCCTTTGAGTGTTCTCGTCTCCTGTCCATGTCGTTGTCCAGGTGTTACAGTAATAGATCATCACGAGCAGCTCGGGACTTTTGCTGAAGACAAGGGCTGCCCAAGTTTAATATTTGTCCCCTGACTCAAACGTAACGGCCGTGAACTGGGCGGGTTACGAGTTTCCTTTCTACGGACATCTGCATGAACAAGGTCAAGCGACCAGTCTTCTGGCCGTGGCTATCGTCGATCGTACCTCCAAAACACACGGGAGCCAATTGGTTAGCGCCAGAACAGTCAAAACTGGTTTATGGCCAATAACACAGCAATGTTTTGCTGGCTATAGAAGTATTGAGTTCGGTCATGGAACACGGGAAAGGAATGACCCTGCAGTATAAAGATTCACTGACCATCGCTAGGAGTGAGCGATAGATCCGTCGCGCCTGGCGATTCACCCAACGTGATAAATTATTGGCCCAGCAGTTATCTCTGGCCATGTCACGCGACCAATCGATGCAGGTTGAGGACTCAGCCCGATTCGCAATACACATGGCCATTGAAAACTCGTGTTTGGTGAATGATTACCCAGGCCGCCACTACGCTAGCTCCCTGACGAATGAGGTATTGCATTCGGTAACCAATGGCTTCAAGAGAGGGGTCATCCAAGCTCCAGCCAATGGACTGCCTTTGTCTGCCTGAAGCGAAATGGTGCCCCCCTCCACAACTAAATCTCCACTTTGCGTGCACTTGACTGTCAAGCAAGGTATTTCACGTCTCGAAATCGACTAACAGGGGAGGGATATCGCTTGAAACACACAGCAACTGGTGCGTTTGCCTCAAAGGAGACTGATTGGACGACGATTGCGACATTGGACCCGATTTGTCATGGGTGACCTTGCGCAGCTAATGAAGCTTATTGCAGCAACCGCATCCGAATTATTGGTTGGTGAAATTGACCAATGTACGTATCGATATTGCTGCGAATTCCAGGTGCTGCCCAATGTAGATATGAGATCACAGTCCGGTGTCCATCTTAATGATGATGCAGTTTTGCCCGCTCATCAGAAGATTCCACGCGCGAAGATTTCCAGAGTAGCGAATCAGATATCGTATCAGGAGACACTAGCCCAATGGAATACAATTGGTTCAGTTTGGGTCCATAATGAGCCAACGGAAAACGTAGCCTGTGTGAACAGCTCACCAAGGTCGTGATCAAATACCCAATCCTTGTTCTATAGTTGCCGGCATACATGATTTGTTGCTTCAAAAGCTCGGATGCAGCGCTGTCTGACTGATCGGCTGACTCAGTGGTGGTCGTCGTTATTTGCTTCCATAGAAATGAACGCACCAATGACAACGAAAATAAAAACATCAAGCCGGTTGATTGATGCTTACCATTCAGGATTCAGCTTGGCCGGCTCACCGAAATCCAACTTTGATGCATTGCGTAGCAAGGTCATGGCCGACCACAAAACTCCGCCAGCTGACGAAGCAAGAAACAACCACTACTGCGGGGAACACTCGATTTCAATTCATAGTGGAACGAGTCTTGTCCGAACAGGCAAGGTGGCGCCGCATCTCCGCAAAGCACCGGTCGTCCGTCAGGTTGCAGCCCTCCGGGAGTGGAATGCGTAGCGATTCCATTGCGTCGCCCGATCATCTCTCGAGCACGAATTTATTTCATCATGAGTCTCGCTATTTTCGGCAATGGCGTCGTTCGACAAATGATATGGCTAAGGGCAGCCGATTGGATGTGATTAGACAATGCTTTGTATTGCAAGTTACCGTGCAAAGTCTGTCCCATGTCAAACTCGTATGCATCTTGTTGGAAGCATTATAGTACAGTATAACGACTACAGTACTTGTTTTCGTCTCTCAACACACTGAACAATTCATCATTCATATTCACAATGAACAAGCCTTTCCTTTACTCGTGGTATTTTCGGTGGTTTGCTTTGACCTTGCTTCACAATTTCAAACCTTCCAGGGGAAGAGCACTCCTCCATAGCATCATTGGAATGGTTATGAGAATTGTCTCGTTGGAAGCGTCGGGAAAAGTGACTTAGTTTTCAGAAATTTTAGAAAATATGTTTCTCAGGAACATGAAGAGGTTACAGTTTCAAAAGTTTCATGTTGCACAAACAACAATTAGTTTTGCTACGTTCGATCGCCAACCAACGCTCAAGTATGGAAAGCAGCATCATGCCGACGGCTTATAAGTATTGATACCAGGTGGAGGGAGCAGGCTAGTGCGCAGCTGCGCAACTAAACCTGCCCGCTCCCACATTCTGACAAACAGTCTTGGCTGTATGTACT